ACCTTCGGGCAACCGCTGTTGCCGTTTAAAGATGCTATAAAATAAAAAATTGACTCGACTTATCTCACTCTGGGAAATATGCCAACAGACAAAATTTCATTTTTGGGGCGGAATATTCTGAGACAGCAGTAGCTCAGGAAGTGGAACAGATTGTCCAATAATAGGAAGGTTGCAGGTTTGATTCCATCTCTGACCAGAGAATGCTGCTCTTGTGTCCTTGGGCAAGACACTTAACCCGCCTTGCGGTGGTCGGAGGGACTGGCGGCGCCGGTGTTCGGCAGCCTCGCCTCTGTCAGTGCGCCCCAGGGCAGCTGTGGCTACATCGTAGCTCATCCCCACCAGCGTGTGAATGGGTGGGTGACGGACTGTGTTGTGAAGCGCCTTGGGGGATCTGCGTCAGCTGCACGAGGGCGAGACGCACACACACTGACAGAGAAGTTTTGGTCTCCGACTTCTCCGTCTCCTGTTGCATTTCCCACCGGGACAACAGAGGGCGTAGCGCTGCTCTGTGGTGTCCTGTCCTCTCCGGTCCCAGATGGTGCATTTGCTATTGTGTTTATATTGTGTTTTTGTATTTCAGAGACTCTTTAACCTTTTCATGCGCTCGCCACCTCTAAAACCACGTTTCCCGTCATTTCCATCCACGAATAAAACATGGCTGTTGCTAGATATCTTCGGTTTCCTTTGCTTTTGAGGGTGCAACGGCAGCGCTGCTGACGAAAGCAGCGTCCTGACCAATCACAAGCTTGCGTTCTCAGTCTCGTTCAACGGATGTTTAGAAAAGAGGGCTCTGTCCTTGCGAGCCTGCAGGAGAGCGCTAGCAAGGACGGATAAGGGTGCGTGCTGAGCTCCAGTCCCTGAGGGTCGGTGTCCTGCAGGTTTTTAGTGTCCTGCAACACTCGTGAACAGAACTAGCTCAAGTCCAGCTGAATACTGCTACGGAGGAAGGGGAGCATTCTGATTCGTGTGTTTTGGAGGTCGACGCCGATTCCTCGACGAATGGAGTTGGAAACAGCTGCTGTATCATAACATAATTTAGGGCAAATTTACAGCAACATGTTTCCTCCAGTTGGTTGTTGAGTTGTTGTAGTCTGAGATGTCCCGTTCGTTTTGGCACACACAGAAGGCACCGTATTATACACGAGCTCATTTGTACATTTTTACAGACGTTAGCTTGTGCCATATAGATTTTTCCGTTTCTGTTGGTTTAAAAAGCCAAAATTGGCATTCTCCCAATGTTTATATATGTTGATCATGTGACTGCATGACTACATCCCATTGGTGAAGGAGCTACAGGAAGATCCACTCGCAGAGGGATCACTTATTACTGTGTGAAATGCTGCTGATGGTGCAGATAACGCTAACAGAGCTAACATTGCTAACGCTGCCAACAGAGCAGATATGCTAGTGAAGTTGAAACAGTTCTGATTATTCTGTCTAAAGGTTTATTTTTGAGACAAAGCTTCATTCACCTGCTGATCCTGCTTCTCATCTACTTGTCTGTGGATGTTCTGCAGAAATCCGTCTACAGTTTAAATCATCCCCACTATAAAGGACAGAAGTTGGCTGTCTGGTATTTCAGGAAATCATTTGACCTTTGAACTCTGGCGTACAGCTTGCAGAGCCGACTGTGACCCAGACGGAGAATAATCCCGCCGTTTGAGTCAGGGTTCTTCTGATCTCAGGTCAGTTTTTAGGTCAGTTTCATAATGAGGCTGAATGATGTAACTGATGTAGATTAGAGCTGAAGTCAGGTTCAAAAGGGTTCAGAACTACAGCAGGACGCTGGATCGGGTCCAGACAGCTGCTCTGATCCTACTGGTATGACCTACAGCTTAAAGACCAAACCAGGGCTACAAAGTGTTTGCCTGTTTGTGATGGTTAGCTGAATATCTCCTGAACCACAGGACGAGTCTGAATGAAACTCTGACAGGAAACACAGGATGAACAGCGGGTTTCCTCATGGAGTCGACCCAAGATGGCCGCCTCTGTTAATTAACATTATTAAACGATAAACTGCCTTTGATGTCGATATGGAGATAAAACCTGATGGGTTGCTAGGAGTCGTTCACACTCAACTACAAATCCACTCCTCATCCAGTCCAGAACTCAGGATCCAGTCCAGAACATGTGATCCAGTCCAGAACATGTGATCCAGTCCAGAACACGTGATCCAGTCCAGATCTCATGATCCAGTCCAGAACTCAGGATCCAGTCCAGAACACGTGATCCAGTCCAGAACATGTGATCCAGTCCAGATCTCGTGATCCAGTCCAGATCTCATGATCCAGTCCAGAACTCAGGATCCAGTCCAGAACTTGTGATCCAGTCCAGAACTCGTGATGCAGTCCAGATCTCATGATCCAGTCCAGAACTCGTGATGCTGTCCAGATCTCATGGTCTAGTCCAGAACTCCTGATCCACTCCAGAACTTGTGATCCAGTCCAGAACTCGTGATGCAGTCCAGATCTCATGATCCAGTCCAGAACTTGTGATCCAGTCCAGAACTTGTGATCCAGTCCAGATCTCATGATCCAGTCCAGATCTCATGATCCAGTCCAGATCTCATGATCCAGTTCTGAACACATGATCCAGTCCAGAACTCATGATCCAGTCCAGAACTTGTGATCCAGTCCAGATCTCATGATCCAGTCCAGAACTTGTGATCCAGTCCAGATCTCATGATCCAGTCCAGGTCCAGATTTCATGATCCAGTCCAGAACTAATGATCCAGTCCAGATCTCGTGATCCAGTCTAGATCTCGTGATCCAGTCCATAACTCATGATCCAGTCCAGAACTCATGATCCAGTCCAGAACTTGTGATCCAGTCCAGATCTCATGATCCAGTCCAGGTCCACATCTCATGATCCAGTCCAGAACTCATGATCCAGTCCAGATCTTGTGATCCAGTCCAGATCTCGTGATCCAGTCCAGATCTCATGATCCAGTCCAGAACTCGTGATCCAGTCCAGAACTTGTGATCCAGTCCAGAACTCGTGATCCAGTCCAGATCTCATGATCCACTTCTGAACTCATGATCCAGTCCAGATCTTGTGATCCAGTCCAGATCTCATGATCCAGTCCAGATATCGTGATCCAGTCCAGATCTCATGATCCAGTCCAGATATCGTGATCCAGTCCATATCCCATGATCCAGTTCTGAACTCATGATCCAGTCCAGATCTTGTGATCCAGTCCAGAACTCCTGATCCAGTCCAGGGCTGTTTCTCAGTATGCGTACTCATCTGAATTTGCATCCTTGTGAAACGTCATCAACACTGACCCAAGTTCTGTTCCAGTCCTAAGTATGTGTCATGGCAAGTTCGATCAAAGTTCCTGGATGTGTTCCTGCTCACAGTGGCACATACACCGTGGCAGAAAGTCGCCGTAATAATACCGCAGCAGTGTGTCTTATAAACTCGCCATGCCGGCATGGCGTTGTTCAAATTTTGTGGCATTCGTTCCGCCTCGCTTGGTAGTTGTCTTATAAGGTGATTGCGCCTTGGCGCAACAGAGGGAGTTGTCATGATGACGTTGGGAGTTTATGCCGTGCTCTGACCGGTGTTATGTCAATTTGAGTTCCCTCGTCAACATACAAAAAATAACCCTCACTATTTGGGAAAAAATGCTCCTAACTCAAGGGATGAGCCTGAGTTATGTCTACACTTAAAGCTGCTTTCCGGAGTTTTCCTCTTTCAGAAATTATGTATGATTTGTCAGAAATCCATAAAAGTGATTATCTCATCATGTACTGTGATATATTATAAGCAATGCGTCTTTTTTTTTTTTTGCTAAGCATGCCCGCTGCCCGGCAGAGCTCCGTGCAATAGGAAACTGAGCGCCGACCAGAACTAACCAATAGCGTTAGACTACCGCTTAGATGCTTCAAATTTAAGGGAAACCTCGGCTGATGCAGAGTTGATTAACTTTTCACGGACAAGTGAGTCTCTAAAATATAAATATATGAGAACACAACATGACGTGAGAATAACACTCGTAAAAGTACGTGTTTGTCGGCTACAGAAGCACGTTTATAAACAGAAGCGTGAAGTCGCCATCTTAAAAACGCAGAGGAACAGCCTTTTTGTGTGATACGCTTGTCAGCCACTAGATGGCGCCATCGCATAAGATAAATACTCCGGAAGGAAGCTTTAACCGAGACCTTTACCCAGGATTCTCAGACCCGTGCAGCTCCAGCAGTGTCCCATCAGGTTTCAGTCCGATCACAGTGGGAACTGCTGGAACACGAGCACTCCATCAGACCCACACACACACACACACACACACACACCTCTCAGTGTGTCTTCAGGAAGATTTATCTGTTTTTATATCCATCAGAGCCCCTGCTGATACATCACACACACACACACACTTTCTCACACATACACTCTGTGCTGCTCTCTCTCTCTCTCTCTCTCTCTCTCTCTCTCTCTCTCTCTCTCTCTCTCTCTCTCTCTCTCTCTCTCTCTCTCTCTCTCTCTGTCTCACTCACACACACACACACTGTAATTGCTGGTTTTATTATCCAACAGACGAAAGCCTGCAGCTCGATTTACTGAGAATAATTTTGATCTCTTCACTCTGAGACCGGGCCGTCTGTCGGACTCGTCCAGAACACAAACCCAAACCCGCTTTGCTGTTTGAAATGTTTCAGCTGAAGGAATAAAATAACTTAAAAAGAACGGAGAGACAAATAAAAGTAACGCGGGTTAGTTTGGTTCTGACAGGAACCGGAACCAAACGTCCGTTTATGTTCGTGTCCTTCAGTCCTGCTGTGAACGCTTATCACATCTATTAAAACAAGCCAAAATTATGAAGATGAAAGAACAAAACTCCCAAAGTTTCTGTTACTCCGGAGGACAGGGACCGTTGTCCCTGCAGCCTCCTCGGAAAAACCTTTCCCAGGATGGATCATGTGGGAATAAACCAGATGGTCGTCCAACGGGACTCAAACGGGCTCGTCTGAATCATTTCTAAAGGATCTGTTTGTGTTTTACAGCTGTTTGTGAGGGCCAGGGCTCGGAGACCATGGAGGCCCGACTCCTCCTGCTCCTGTTTGTCTCAGTGACGCTTGGCCACGCCCAGTTTCCCTCTGGACAGCGGCTGAAGCCCCGCCTACAGAGGGATCGGCGAAACATCCGTCCCAACATCATCCTGATCCTGACGGACGACCAGGACGTGGAACTGGGTGACTGAACCTCTTCAGAGTGTTAGACCCCCTCTGGTGGCTCAGTTGGGAACAAATAATTAATTAATAGAAGACGCTGTTTTTATTTTAACCATGAATCTGTTTTGGTTTCGGATTGATCTGACGCGTCTCTTTGAGTTTGAGACGCGTGTCCAACAGCGTCCCCGTGTCTCTCCAGGATCCATGCAGGCGATGAACAAGACCCGCCGTATCATGGAAGAGGGCGGGACCCTTTTCTCCAACGCCTTCGTGACCACGCCCATGTGCTGTCCGTCGCGCTCGAGCATGCTCACCGGGAAGTAAGTCCCGCCCCGCAGGACTCCGACGGCCAATCACAGCCGAGCCCTCGTGCTCTTTTTGAGTTCCTGTTGCTGCTTCTGCTCTCAGGTACGTGCACAACCACAACACCTACACCAACAACGAGAACTGCTCCTCGTTGTCATGGCAACGACACCACGAGCCACGGACCTTTGGAGTCTACCTCAACAACACCGGATACAGAACAGGTGGAGTCGGATGTGAACGGGTTTGGTTTAATGCAAAAGAACTTTTTATTTATCTGTAATCCTGATTTGTGTTTTATTAAGGATCAGGGGTCAAAAGGTCACAGAGGTCAAAGGCAAAGAACTTTTCTACCCAGAATCCTCCAGCTGAACAGCTGGTTATGTCCATCAGAACTATATACGAGTCCAGAACCGTTCAGAGTTTTCTCTTTGACCATTAATGGTAAACGGCCCGTGTTTGTGTGGTCCTCGTTAGGGTTCCACAGCCCCCCAAGGCGCTTCACAACTCACCCGTTCACACACTGGTGGGGAGGAGCTACGGTGTAGCCACTGCTGCCCTGGGCCATCAGCACCAGCGGCGTTGACGCTGGTGCTGATGGCCCACCAGGATGGAGCGGGTCATTCCTGCTGCGGTTCTGATTCTGTTCCGTTCCGTTTGTCCCGCAGCGTTTTTTGGGAAGTACCTGAACGAGTACAACGGCTCGTACGTTCCAGCCGGGTGGAGGGAGTGGCTCGGCCTGGTCAAGAACAGCCGGTTCTACAACTACACGCTGAGCCGGAACGGGGTCCGGGAGAAGCACGGGGCGCAGTACCCGCAGGTCAGAACCGGGTCGGCCTGGCAGATTCTGGACATCCACTCAGAAACTGACCCAGAGTGTTCAGATGTGTGTGTGTGTGTGTGTGTGTGTGTGTGTGTGTGTGTGTGTGTGTGTGTGTGTGTGTGTGTGTGTGTGTGTGTGTGTGTGTTTTCAGGACTACCTGACCGACCTGATAACGGCCGAGTCCATCCAGTACTTCCGCTCCTCAAAGCGGGTCTACCCTCACCGACCAGTTCTGATGGTTCTGAGCCACGCAGCTCCACACGGGCCAGAAGACTCGGCACCGCAGTTCAGCACCGCCTTTCCCAACGCATCACAGCACATGTAGGCCGTGCGCGCACACACACACACACACACACACACACACACATTGAGGATAAGCTGGTGTAATCCAGTAGAACAATGGAGCAGTTCTGTTCTGCTCAGCTGGATAAATCTGGACTAAAACCAAAACAATCTCCTACCACAGAGTCCCAAACCAGTACCAGAACTCAGAGTAAGTTCTATCGTAGTGTCCGTTCAGAACCTTTGACCTGATATGACCTGAGACGAGATCCCTGTTGTCCGTCCAGGTCCGAGTCCGGTCCGGGTCTGAGTTTGGTCCAGGTCTGAGTCCGGGACTGAGTTTGGTCCAGGTCCGAGCCCGGTTTAGGTCTGAGTCCAGTCCGGGTCCGAGTTTGGTCCAGGTCTGAGTCCAGTTCATGTCTGAGTCCGGTCCAGGTCCAAGTCCAGTTCAGATCTTAGTCCGGTCCAGGTCCGAGTCCGGTCTAGGTCCGAGTCCGGTCTGGGTCTGAGTCCGGTCCAGGTCTGAGTCCAGTTCAGGTCTGAGTCCGGTCCAGGTCTGAGTCCAGTTCAGGTCCGAGTCCGGTCCGGGACTGAGTTTGGTCCAGGCCTGAGTCCGGGACTGAGTTTGGTCCAGGTCCGAGCCCGGTTTAGGTCTGAGTCCGGTTTGGGTCCGAGCCCGGTTTAGGTCTGAGTCCAGTCCGGGTCCGAGTTTGGTCCAGGTCTGAGTCCAGTTCATGTCTGAGTCCGGTCCAGGTCCAAGTCCAGTTCAGATCTTAGTCCGGTCCAGGTCCGAGTCCGGTCTAGGTCCGAGTCCGGTCTGGGTCTGAGTCCGGTCCAGGTCTGAGTCCAGTTCAGGTCTGAGTCCGGTCCAGGTCTGAGTCCAGTTCAGGTCCGAGTCCGGTCCGGGACTGAGTTTGGTCCAGGCCTGAGTCCGGGACTGAGTTTGGTCCAGGTCCGAGCCCGGTTTAGGTCTGAGTCCGGTTTGGGTCCGAGCCCGGTTTAGGTCTGAGTCCAGTCCGGGTCCGAGTTTGGTCCAGGTCTGAGTCCAGTTCAGATCTTATTCCGGTCCAGGTCTGAGTCCGGTCTAGGTCAGAGTCCGGTCTGGGTCTGAGTCCAGTTCAGGTCTGAGTCCGGTCCAGGTCCGAGCCCAGTCTAGGTCTGAGTCTGGTCCAGGTCTGAGTCTGGTCCAGGTCCGAGCCCGGTTTAGGTCCGAGTTCAGTTTTTGACTAACCAAACTCCAGTCCAGTCAGCTGTTTTGAGTTTATGTAGATGGAAAAAAGGGGCGGGGCTAATTGTAGGTCAGATGACTAGAAAGACGCTGATCACATGATATTAAATCAACGCTGCTTTGATTTCAGCAGAGGTTATCTGCTTATTTCCGTCTCCCAGTACTCCCAGTTACAACTACGCTCCGAACCTGGATAAACACTGGATCATGCGTTACACCGGCCCCATGAAGCCGATCCACATGGAGTTCACCAACGTTCTCCAGAGGAAGCGTCTGCAGACGCTGCTGTCGGTGGACGACAGCGTGGAGAAGGTTGGACCAGCTTCTAGATCTGGAAGAAACAAAGCAGCTTGAGCTGCTGGAGCTAGGGACGGAACGGGAAACTAAAAGACGTTTCACGTGTTTCAGCTGTACAACATGCTGGTGGAGACGGGCGAGCTGGACAACACCTACATCATCTACACGTCTGACCACGGCTACCACATCGGCCAGTTTGGCCTGGTTAAAGGTGAGAAACCAGCAGCATCTTCATATGAGTCCATGCCTCAGTGTGAAACGTTTAGGACACGCTAACCCCCGCAGTTTTCATCCGGAAAGGCAAAAGTGGTGATTTTAAAACTGTTGTCATCATAAATCATCAATAAAGTTTTGGTCTGCAGGTAAATCCATGCCGTACGAGTTCGACATCAGAGTCCCGTTTTACATCAGAGGACCAAACGTGGAGCAAGGCAGCATGTGAGCACCACGCACCAGCTGGGTCTAACTGGGTCTGGATGGGTCTAACTGGTTCTGGATGGGTCTAACTGGTTCTGGATGGGTCTAACTGGTTCTGGATGGGTCTAACTGGTTCTGGATGGGTCTAACTGGGTCTAAAGGTGTTTTTCCAGGAACACTACTGAGCCTAAACAGCTGGGTGCAGCGGTTTGAGTCAGCCCATCTGGGGGTAAACAGTGTAAGCTAACCTGTTTGCTCCACATAAACTCAAATCAGCTGGAAGACGATGGTGTCGCTGGACATTCGGCTCAGTTTTACGGGACTCTGAACCAGAAAATGGCTGCAGGCAGTGAAGCACAAGCCAGAAATCTCCGGAGCAACCAGTGACTCCGCCTCCTAGCCAATCAGTGGCCAGAATCACGATGCCGGCCTGACTCAGCCTTGCCAGGTGCCTCAATGAAGCTAAGACTGAAAATAGGGAGAGAGTAGCGGGAAAATACCGAACTGCATCAGTCCGGGTTGCTCCGAGTAGTGTTCCTGGAAAAGCACCATAACTGGGTCTACATAGGTCTAACTGGTGTGTGTGTGTGTGTGTGTGTGTGCGTGCGTGCGTGTGTGTGTGTCAGTAACCCTCACATCGTCCTGAACATCGATCTAGCTCCGACCATCCTGGACATCGCTGGACTGGACACACCTCCAGACATGGACGGGAAGTCGATCATGTCGCTGCTGGATACAGACAAACCTGCCAACAGGTACACACACACACACACACACACACACACACACACACACACTGGTGGTGATGACCTGTAGCACTGTTACCCACAATCCTCCATCAGAACCGCTAAACTGTGTTCCCGACTCTCATCATCCGCTCCTCTATAAAGGCATCTCTGCTCCGGAGCATACGGGCGTGTGTTGACGGCTGCCCAGAGTGTTTTGTTTCATCTCAGAACGTTTGAGCAGATCTAGACTAAAGAATCCCTCTGTAGAGGTCACATGATCCTTCCTTAGGAAGTCCTTTTCTCCTTCAGGTTCCAGGTGAGCAAGAAGCCGAAGGTGTGGAGAGACTCGTTCCTGGTGGAGAGAGGGTAAGGCACCTGTAACCTGCACCTGCTGGACTGAAAACAAACCAGAAGCCTTGTTAGTCACAAGTCTGAGTCTAGTCTCCAGAAGACTCGAACGGCTAGTGTGGGACAACAGCTAATCTGAGCTAATCTGGCCTGACTAGTCTGAGGTAACGGCCATCTTGGGAAGTTCAGAAAGACTAGCCATTAGCTCGATGAACCTGAAAGATGTAAACTCTGTTTCTCTGAACCAAGGCTGTTCAGGAAGCTGACACTTCTGTTTAAGAGCCAGGTTGTCTGAACCGTGAGGTGGGTTCTGCCCATCTGGAGTGAGTGTGTGAAGTTCTGTCAGAACCTCTCGGACTGCTGCGTTTGTGTCCCAACAGGAAGTTGCTCCACCAACGAGTCGAAGGGAAGGAAGTCTCTCAGGAGGAGAACTTCCTGCCCAAACACCAGCGAGTGAAGGACCTCTGCCAGAGGGCCGAGTACCAGACACCCTGCCAGCAGACGGGACAGGTACCGAAACCCAGCTGGTTCTGATTTGCCGCCTCAGCCTGAGGCTTTTAAAACACGAGTGTCGATCACGTTCTGATCAGGATCCAGTTTATAAAACCAAAACTGGACCTGACACAGCGTCAGTAGAACCGGTCCCATTCGGGCTGACTTCACTCCAGGTGGGTTCCTGTATCCGTCATTCCAACAGCACTGGAGCGGCTCCGTACGGCGGGGGTGACCTCAGCTCACCTCGGTGTAGTCCCTGCCAGCTTCGGGACAAAATGTGTGTGTGTGTGTGTGGGGGGGGGGGGGGTGTCTTTACTCCTGGGATCTGTAATAGAGATGTTGCAATCCCGATCAGATTCCGAGTCCCAATCCGATGATTAAGAAAAGACAGGAAGTGTGTTGATATTAAGAATACACGTGGAAGCCGCCTTGTCGCTCTTGTTTCTGATGGTTGGCTCGGTGTGCGTCTGTGCTGAGCGGCGGGGATGGCAGGGTCACTCATTCCTGCTAAACACCTGTAATGCTGCTGCTTCGGTAAAGTTAGGACGGGAAAGCAGATCGTGCCGCGACTCCAGAAGACCTCAAAACCCAGACACCCACCCAGTGTGGTGAATATATGCTGTTCATGGACTATTCCTTTAGTCCTGACCCCTGTTACTCCGTCAGGAATGCTTGTTTTAAATGGATACATTTTCCCACCCGATTCCGACTTGCTGGAAATCACATGGTCGGAGCATCCCGGATCTGTAAGCCACACAGAAACACAGCTCAGCACAAACATGGCCATGTAGAAAAATCTGCTCAGTTTTATGGCTTTTTGTCAGCCTGAACCAGGAAAAGCTGAAGGCAGCGCCTAGAAAGCTCCGCAGCTAACATGACTCCGCGCCCTAGCCAATCAGCGGCCGACAGTCGGGATGCCGGCCCCGGATCAGCTCTTGGAACCTGAGGAATAGAGGGAACGTAGGGGAAAATATTCCAAACCGTG